CGGCAATGATGGTGGTGGTTGATAATGATGATGGTGTGGTGGTGGTGATGAAGTCAGGATAACGATGATGGTGGGCATTATTTCTGACGCATGACTAACAAATCGTGAAACACTAAAAATTATATATGAAGCTTGCTAACGATGACAACGGCGATGATGGTGGTGGTTGATAATGATGATGGTGTGATGGTGATGATGGTGATGATGACCACTTTTCCTGTTGGGACAACAGTTCCTTTGCGAGGTTAAAAAAAGGTTGAACGTTGGACAGAAAAGATGCCGGTCTGCAATGCAAGACCAATTCTTTTTCGATAACTATATTGGAACATCAAACCGTTATTCCTACATAGAATTACTTTTATCACCTTGGAAATTACGTCACTATAAAATGGTCCCCCCCTCCCCTCCCCTTGCCAAATTATTTTAACATCACTTCGTTATGACCACAACAACGACAAGAGAATATATAAAGTTTAAAAGCCATACCATCACTGTTCCAGTTCAAGCTCTTCTCAGCCTGTTCTAGTTGGTTATCGATGTTCTGTAGCTGTCCTTCAACAAGAGGAAACTCCACGTCCAGTAAGGTCTCGCGAACTTTATTATACCATGCTACTGTTAAGTCCAGGTTAGCGCAAAACTTGTGGAATGTTTCATTCCGTGAGTAGATAGTAGTAGCACTGTCAGGGATCGTTTCCAGGGTCTCGTTTTGTGCAGTTTCTAAGTATTTTACTTCTCGAAGAACCGCGGTTAGCTGAAAGTCCACAGACGTAAATACAATTAGGTTTATTCAATGTTTCAAAGAAAATTAGGCAGCAATTGCCTTTACTGACTAGGGTGACTATATATGCTCCGCAAGACAAACATTCTGGTCAGATTCTTGGAGTCAAGTTGACACTTTTCATCACCTCGTTGGAGTCAAATCGAGAAGTTATCATTATAGATATTATAGAGATACTATATTTGTAATTCAATACACGACCACATCAGCAACGCTGTAAAACTTATCGTATTTAAATAAATATTATCATTATCATTATCATTATCATTATCATTATCATTATCAAGTTTGTGTAAAATATGCCGTATTGGCATACTCTGGATACGGAAACTCAAATTCGCTCGCTATGATCAATTCGATAATATGTTACTCTATTGAAATAAAGGTATCATGTGTCTTACATCAGGATCAAAGTTGACTTTGATGAGCTTGGTATTGGGATCTCTGACAATCAAAGGCTTGTCCAAGTTCTGCTGACATATGTGATCGACGCCTTTAGTCCACTCATTGTAAACCTCTTCATCATAACTAAACAAAGTAAAGACTGCAATTTAGTAAAAAATAGATAATTCAGCTGTACACCCTGGAATGTAATGCACTGTTGTTTTCTACACCACTGAAAATTCAGCCAATCAAAATGCAGGAAAGCAGTTGTATATTCCGCAGTATTCTACAGTTTCTTCTACTCAGGCATTACGTCTACGGTGTTTTAAATTTCTTGACTAATTTCTAATGGCGTTGGATAAAATAGTTGTACAATACTTTCTCGTGGCACACCATGGAATATCCCACTTGTCACTCGTATATAATAGGTTAGACAATGCTTTCTCGTGGCACACCATGGAATATCCGACCGTGGAATGTCACTTGAACTCAAAACTATTGTATAGCTAGTATATACGTACAGTAGTTTTTAGTTTAGCCACAAGTTTTAATCTATTCGATACATGAATACAGATTACAAACCTGGTCAATAGTTTATTCATTTCATCATACTTGTTGAATATAATCATCGCTTCTGCCGTCTCAAGAGACCTGAAAAAAATCATTCAAATATTCATATAAACTTTTTTCTCGAGCACTGATACTGACTCTCTGTCGTGTAAAAATTGATAGCAATAAATCGAATAGCGTATCCAAATATATAGACCAGAAAAAAAATACGGCCAAAGGAGTGTCCCTTACTTCTTTATACTGTAAGTTCATCACATTTTAATGACGCTAATTAAACATCATTTCAAAGTTAATGGTTTGTAAAGCTATCCGAGATAGCGAGAAAAAGAAATCCCATGCATATACTAACAACAGAGGCCAAGCATGAGATGATGGTTGAAACAGGTCCAGAATTAAAACGTTTTTCACGTTAACATAAAGTTACAGGATTGGTAAACGAACATGCATATACCTCATCCTTTATTTGGAATGTTATGATTATGAAAAGCAAGTAGATGGGAAATGTAAAAAGATGAAAGAGAATAAAGTCAGGTACCTTTTGAGAGCCTGAATGGGAGGAAAATCAGAAGCAGGCCTTTAGAGTGGAATAAGAAAAGAATAAAAGAAATGAAAGAAAGATAAAGTACTGTAGATTGATATCTGTGGAATTCCTATCTCAATGGAAGAAAATGAGAAATACTTTGAGTGTGAGGTTATGCTTGGTAAATGCAGACATCAGTTGACAGAGGAAAATACGTTTGCAGTTGAGGGAAAGAATTATGATCAGAAAAAGAAGGAATAAAAGATATAGCTGGGTTTATATCAGCTGTTGAAAGTCTTTGAATCTCATCATCTGCTTGAAATGATGATCAAATATTGACTAATAAGTGCCGTCAGCTAGAAAGAGTATTCTATTCAGCTGATGAACATCAGCAGGAAACAGGAAATGATGTCAAGTGAAACCAAGCAATAATACATTCAGTGAGAGTACATCAACGAATGTAAAACCAGAGGAAGAAAAAAGGTTGGTTTTTTTTTAACTGCTCATATTTAGTTCTATAGATGGTCATGAGCAAAGTTTAGTATCTTCAGGGAATAAACCAGATGATAAACTGTAGAACTATAATTACAGGAAGAATGTCCATTCCTGGAGCCTCATTGAGCACCCAGTAACCTCGTAGTCATATTACTGGATTCAGCATATCCAAGTACCTTTTCAAAGCTTTCAGTGGCCATGAGCAGCATTATCAAAAAAGATGATTATTTATGGTAAAAATAAATGTTAAGACAACTTCAATAAAACTTCAAATCACCCCAACCTAAGTCTTTCACCCGGGGGGGGGGGGGGGGGGGGGTACTACTACCCCATTTTGGGTAGGGATGTGCCACCAGGACCTCAAAATTTACTAACATTTTTATTGTTTTTGGTCAGCAGAGAGCGTAGCCTATTCGCCAGACAAAAACGACCAAATCATTAACCCTATCCCAGACTAAAATGATACCCTATCCAAGACAAAATGTCAAAAAATGATACCCTACCCCAGACCCAAAAGCTGAAAAACCATACCCTATAGGCCGGCACATACCCGTATAGCAAATATAGGGAGTACCCCCTCCCTCCTCCCCCCGGTTCTGTCACCTTATCCCAAGTCAAGTTATTCGTTTATAAACCTTGAATTCAACCTACCCATGATTTAGAGACAGCTTAAGAGCTTGCATGGGTTTGGTAATTCTGTCTCTCAATTCATTGGACCATTTCAGTGCTCCAGAAATAGGAGGCATGTTCTTGTTGATTGGTGGAGTTCTGTCAGCTTGTTTAGCAGCCATTTGGTTGTCAAAGATCACTTTGGATTGATCCAGTTCATGTTCAAACATTCTTAATAGCACTGGATATTTTTTAGAAAAGTCAACATGGATCAATGGACGGTCGAGAAGTGAGCCAAGGCAGTCCAATAGCTGAAAACAAGAAATAGGATATTAATACACCATACCTATCAGCTCAGACACTGATACAATAGTACCTCTATTTAGTGCATGGACACTTTGCATTGGGACTTTATATTACCTGGTGTCTACTGAATAAAGGGCGAGTACAGGTTTGTTGAACAGTGAAAATGGGAAGAAAATTTCATGGCCATGCAAGTAGCAACCTTGGGAATCTGCTACACATGTAATACGGAGATATATGTATTTAAGCTAAGGGGAATGAAGATCACTACTTTATCTGTAAGTACTATTGCCAAACAGAAATTATACACACAGAGCATTCAAAATAAGTCATAATGTGTAGTTCCAGAAATTATCCA